AGAGAGAGAGAGAGAGAGAGAGAGAGAGAGAGAGAGAGAGAGAGAGAGAGAGAGAGAGAGAGAGAGAGAGAGAGAGAGAGAAACACGGGTGATGACAGATGTTCGTCGGACTGACTACCTGGCTCAGTGGGTGGTGGGAACCAATGGTCTGCGGGGTTCACCCGTGATGTGAGTAGGTGATGTGCCGCTTTGCTCCGTGTTGGATGTGTGGACTGCCTTGTCTGCGCTCCACCGCTACCTTGCTACCCGCCCCACTTGCTTCGCAGGTCGTTCTTGGCAAGCTCCTGTGTTTGCTGTGTGGGTTGGCCGTGTTGTTGGTGTTGCCTTACACTTCGCCACTCCGTTGCCTTGTCGCCCATCCACAGGCCGTGCCTTCCTTGTCCTTTGCTTGCTTACCTTGTAGTTTGGTTGCCTTGTTGGTCGTTCCTTGTGTGCTTCACTGCATGGTTGCTGTGCTGCTTGTCTACTTGCCGTGTCTTTTCTTGCAGTGTGGCTGCCTTGTTGGTGTTGTGCTTCACTGCGCGGTTGCCGCTCTGCGCGTCCACTTTCCATGTCGTTCCTTGCATGCAGTAGTCTTTGGCGTTGAGCAGCCGTGTTGCGTCCGCAGCGTTGCCTGGTGCTTCGCTGGGTTGCTGCCCGCTGCTGTGCTCCGTTTGGGGACGTCTGCCTTCAACAAGGGTCAAATGGTGCAAGACCCAAACCATCAATACAGGCATTCCGCAGATTGTCGAGGGTTCAGCCTCCTGATGAGTCGGTGCAACTCCGACGAAACAATCGATCACGAGTTTTATTTTTTTCGCTTTTTGTCTTTTTTTTTTGGTTTGTGTTCTTTTTGTCTGCCTGGGCGATTCTGGACTTGCTGTTTTCGCTATGCTGCCTACTGCTGTTTGTCTGCCCACCCGCCTCCCCCATGCCCTCCAGCCTATGTTCTTAGCTGCTGTTTGACCGTCCAAGGCTGCTCCTTGGGTTGTTGCCGTCTCCTTGGCTTGCCTTGTTAGTCCTTGGATCATTGCCTTTTCTTCATGATTTTGTGAAGTTTGTCTGCCCATTCGCCTCCCCACGCCCTCCAGCGTCTGTTCCTTGTTGCTGCTGCCTCCCACCGTTTGCCTTACTTTTTTTTTTTGTGTGTCTTTTTTCTCCATTCAGCCTTGCTCTTTCAACTGTTAGGCCAAGCTCTTGCCATGAGGACTTGGGTCGTTCGTATGAAAGCCTTTTTTGAATGCCGGCCTTGTGTTCCACCGTGCCTAATGTTGCAATGCATTTTTTTTTGGGAAAGGGCGTCCGATGGGGTTACGTTTTAATTATTTACCACACACGCTCACAGACCTAAGGGCATGCTCGCACCAGGATGCAGCGGGTTTTTGCTGCAACCGGTTTCTTCAACCGGTTGCTGTAACTGGCTTCAGCAACCGGTTGACCGGATACAACAACTAGTTGCTGCAACTGGTTACAGCAACTGGTTGCAGCAGGTTGCAGCAACTGGTTGAAGAAATTGGTTACAGCAAAAAATCAGCCCATGTGTGTGTGTGTGTATGTGTGAGTGTGTTTGTGTCTGTGTGTTTGCTCCACCCGGTTACAGCAGCCGGTTGCTGCAATCGGTTGCTGCAACCTGTTGCAGCAACTGGTTCCTGCAACCGGGCAACCGGCTGAAGAATCCGGTTGCAGCAACCGGTTGAAGAAACTGGTTACAGCAACTGGTTGCAGCGACCCGCTGCTGTAACCGGGTGGAGCAAACACACAGACACAAACACACACACACACACACACACACACACACACACACACGGGGGCTGTTTTGTTTTATGAGGGAATGCCTGTGGGTGGCCACAAGTTTTTTTTGGGACGGAAATGTATGTTTGGAGTTTTGGCCACAGTATCTTTGCGAGGAGGCTCAGAGAGTGTTTGCTGTGGGTGTCATTCCCACGGGCTGCTCTTTAGGAGCACATAGAAGGAATGGGAGGATTCAAGGGTGTTTTAAGCAGTAGCGCTCCTGTCGCGTGGAGATCTTGTGGAGTTAGTACGTGTTGTGGCCTTGTTGTAGCACTATGAGATCATCGGATTCTGCAGGTGCAGCAGGGGCGGTCCATGGCACTCGTGGTGTTGGGTCCTGCGGTGTTTGATCGATTTGCTTTGGCGTGAATGGCAGTGTTAGTGCTGTTGTGTTTGTGTAATTATGTTTGTGGTTTTGTGGGACGATGCGGAGGGCTCTCCAAGTTTTTCTGGACCTTCGTAGGGGGTTGGTGCTGTCTTGCTGGTGGGGTCTTCTGTTTAAGCTAAGTTGCCTTTTGCCCTCCACACCTTTAAGGATTATGAAAAAATTATGTATGTATGTATGTATCTGTGCAAGTGTGTCGCTTCGGCGGCACTTGGCGCTGAACCACACAAACGTGGCCAACCTTGCATCTTCTATTATACTCTCTATCTATACTTCTTTTGCTTGTGATGATTCGTGGGTGGAATAAGAGAGAGAATTTGGGTTTATTATAACAAACAGACACACACATGCACACACATACACGCACACACACACACACACAGACCTAAGGGCGTACTTGCAGTTGGACTTTCCAAGATGCAGCGGACTGTTTTTGCAGCAACTGGTTGCTGTAGTCTGTACTTTATCAGCCACAGGACCTCCTCCGTGCAAAGCACGGATTCGAACAGGCGCCCTGTAAGCGGATGCTACAGCAACCGGTTACAGCAACGTTTTGATAAGATTTAGGGTTTAGGGTTTAGGGTTCAATGATCCATTTGATTGATACCTCCAAGGTCCATCCCATCTCTCTCCTTTCCCCCTCCCCCCCATCGTATCTCTCTTGGGTGTGTGCATTTGTCTTTTTCTTGTGTGCAGGCTTTGGATGCTGTGGAGACAGAAGTCGGAGGCCTATCCGCTTGCTTTGAAAGGTACGTGGATGGTTTTATTGAAAGGTTCATCAATTTCGTGGATTTCATTGAGAAGGACACCATATATGACTTAGGATAAGGTGGAGGGGGGTTACTGAAAAGCTTTTTTTTTTTAAACACAGACTGAAGTTTGAATCCAGATGTAATCAGACTAACAAAGTAGAACCGTTCTGAATTTCCTGGGGCCGGTCAGCTCAAAGATGATATCTCAATGCCGTCGCCCTTTTGGTAAAAAAAAAGAAAAAGAAAAACAGAAAAACTTTTCACCGTTTGTGATTAACTTATGTTAACTTGTCCTTATTGTGGGCGAATGATCATATAAGAGCAGGATATGCCTAGCTGTTCTTATCTGGTCATTCATTTTCTATTAATAATCCATAACAAGTTAGCCAAGTGAAAAATCATTGTTTCCGATCCTCTCCTTCCTCCCTCGCTTCCTCCATATATAATTTCCCCTCCCCTGAATGAATTGCGAGGAATGAGCCCTCACGGGCCCCTCACAGACATGCAAGTGTTCTGGGCCGTGGTCCCCAGCAAGGATTGTGCTCGCCACAAGTGAAGGCGGGCCTGAATCTCCACGTGAAGCCCCTTTTCGACATTTTCCATATGTGGGGTATCAGACAGTTGCAGCACGCCAGTTGGTGACAAAGCAACGTGAGCCTCTGCTGGCTCCTTCCAGAAACAATAGCTGCGCTGCACAGTTGAGCCCAGGGCCCCGGTTGGTTGCGCCCTGGGCACACACAGTGGGAGGCCGACACATCACGCAGTCCCGGCGGACAAATGAGAAAGCAGCATTGTCGTCAAACAACCTCCGTGAGCCAATGAGAACGCGGCAAACACTTGGAGGCTGGACGGCTGTCTGGAGGTGCCCAACTGAAAAGGGCCCAGGCCCATAATAGCTGAGGTGGGCCTGGGCGCAGACACGGGGGCCCGACTGGAAGCTACTGGAAACTTCCCAGGCCAGGCCCACTCAGCCAGACACAGGGCTACACTTTCCATAAAGGAAAGTGCCTCGTCCAGGCGGGCTCATTCTGGCCTTGGCAGGCAATGCGGACACGCTGCTGCGTTGCTGCACTAGTGTCTGCATGTGCACGGCTGGTCGGATGCGCGCACGGGCGCTGAGGTGAGGGGCGCTGCTGAGGCAGAGGGCGCACAGCAGCCATAGCCAGGCTGCAGGGGTGCATGCAGGTGATGGCGATGGTGGTCTTCGGGTAGGAGGCACATGCAGAGGGGAACCAAGGGGTGATGAGGGGAGAAGAGAGAACGTACCTGGTGTATGCTGGTGGTCGGCATTGGTGTTGACGTCACGTACATCGGTCTTAGACTTTGATGTGCTCCAGTCGCATGAACGTAGATAGGAAAGATACGCTGAGTAGTGTAGGCTGGGCGCTGGGCGCCAGACAATAGGAGCGACATTGGATGCAGTATCGGTGTGACCAGAGAGCATCGGCATTGGCACTCGAGTTCATTGTATTGCTCTTATTTGGATGGTATCTTGGTGCATTGTGCTCTCTGCTTGGTACATGACTATCTGGACTGCTTCATGATTTTGCAACTTGGTTTCCTGTCTATGTTATGAACTTGGTTGTCTGACGATTTTCTCGCCACTCACACACAGAGTGCCTGACACACGCCTATACACGTACCAGACAAAGGGGAGAGGAGACAGAGTCCAAACTGCACACAGACAAAGATAAGCAGTGGAATTCAACCATGCACAGATGGGGAGAAGACACACAGTGGTTCTCACTCTCTGACAGACTCCCAACAACCAATCACAAGAAGAGACCTGCGAGGATAACAATCAGAATCACACTGATGATGAGCCAACTCAAACCAATCGTCCCAATTATCGTTACAGAGTTTATCTCAGTATCTCGCCACTCTCAGAACACCATACACCACTCCCTATCCTGCACCCAGTTAGTAGCGCAACACTGAATCCGCCTCCCAGAGGCCAGCGCCAACCATCCAGATGGAGAACATGAATCGGGATGAAGTCTTCAGTGCCGATGAGTAACTCTGACGAAGAAGATGGCAGCTATGGCTGCCACACCACTGACAAGCCCCGATAATCCACCTCAGGCGAAGGGCGACAGTGGTCCACCCACGTAGACTCCGTGAAGAGCCTCTTTACAGCCCAGCCAATCGCAGATACCCCCAGGGGTAGGTGCGCAGAGGGTGCCCCAGCTATGACAAACACCGGCAGGCTGGCTATGGCTGCCGTCCACGATGAGGGTCTCAGGATGCCGCCTGTAGACAATCACCACAACCCGACTTGCTTGACTCCAGAACGCTGTATCGCGAAAATGAAATGCCAAAAGTCCCTAACCTACAGGCTCAGTCCTATTCATAGACTAGCCTACTCTAGCCCTAGACCTACTGGACCGGTACCGCCTCAGTTTGGCCTGTTCGGCCTGGGCCCTACCCGGCTATATGGCGCCTAACCCGTCTCTACAGCCCAAGGCCCAGATGGGCCTGCTGTCCTAGTGATAGCCCGGGTCTGCTGAAGGGGCCTGCAATTTTCGTGTTAATTGCAGATATGTCCCTCACGAATTTCCCTCAGGACTAGCCCGGCGGTTAGTCCCTGACACAACTAAAATTACGAACCTGACCCTAAGACACGACTATACAACCTCGCAGTCAGATCTCGGCAGCAGAAATCAGCAAGTCATTGCACTATCGCGCTTGCTCATATTCCTTGCAGAATCATGTTACTCGCTTCTCCCTCCTGTCCCCCCTCATGTTCTCCATATATAATTTCCCCTCCCCTCCCCTCGGTGTCCCACTGTTTTCCCAATCCGTGTGGGTTCTTGCACCCTTCCACCCTGCTTCTGATGTATTCTTGTTCTCCCCGCCCCCTTTCAAATCCTCAAGGTTGTCTTTGCTTTTTTTTACCTTTGTGTCTATGAAGTCCATGAACAAGCTCTTGTTTCGCCTTTCTTTTTGCAGCCCCCCCCCCCCAAGCTATCTTGCTACATAATTTTTAGCTTTTTCAAATACTATCAATCAGTCAACCAATCAATCAACAGTGATTGCCATGTCAATAGAATCTATCGATCAGTCAATTAATCAATCAATGATTGCCACCTCAATCGAGCCGATAGATCAGTCTTTATTGACTGGGGGACTAATTGAGTGATCGCTCAAGAAACCAAACCAAAACCTTTGCCTCCTTTTCATTTCCTTCCTCTACTTCTTGCCTGTCAAATTCGGCCTTGCCCTTTCCCGCCCCCCCTTTTACGCCAGCCGCGTTGTGCTACAACAAGAAGAAAGAGAAGACGGAAAAGAAGAAGAAAAAGATGGAGTAAGACAGCACAGGAGCGCTTTTTCTTCTACGGACCCCTGATCAGCCTGGCCTTGGATCGTATTGTTGAAACTGCGCAGTATCAAGCCAGCGATCTCTGGCGTAGTAGAGGGATATCTTCGCTACTGCAACATTGAGACTTTTTTCTTCATTCAATGTCCGTTCCCAAACAGCTGATGATAAATCGATTGACCTATCGATCCATCGCTCAACTGAAATAAACAGCTTCTCTCCCCTTCTCTCCCCTTTCATCTCTGTTTCTCCACATCCTGCTGCCGCTGCTCGTCCATCAATCAGTAATCAATCGAAGTCTATCGATTTTTCAGCCTCTTGGCCGAGAACAAGTGGAGTATCTAAATTTCTCAGTTAATCATCAGTCGAAGTCAACAGTCAACGATTGCTATTTGATTGATTGATTCATTCATTCTTGGATCGATTTCTTCTTCCTCCACATCCTCCTCCTGCTGCTGCTGCTCGTCCATCAATTAGTAATCAATCAGATTAACCATTGATTGATTGATTGATTGATTGATCTATCAATCAAGCAATGAATTGATTTGTTTGTCTATGGGTTGCTTGCTTGGTTGCTTGGTTGCTTGGTTGATTGGTTGATTGGTTGATTGATTGATCCTCATACTGTTTGTCATGGCCATGTGAGTGATGGATGATTGATATGCAGACTGCTTTTGTTATGGTCCTTGCTGAGTCTGTGCTTTTTGCTGACCTCTTCTTCATGTTTTTTTGGGTGCAAAAACAGTGAGTTGCAATGGGGAGCACCGCCTGTTTCGTGATTGTTGGGAAGAATGATAATCCACTTTATGAGAGCGAAGTGGGAACAGGGCCCAAGGTGAGGCGATTAAGTATCTTGTGAGGATGACTATGGATATTTGTTGCAGAAAGAGAAGACTTTGTTTGTGCAAGAAGTTTGTCATCTCGTCGTGTCTAATCTCTTTTCGATATCTTGCTGGTACAATTGATTCCCAAATAAATGATGCCTTAGTCCAACAGACTCCAACTGGGAGAAATGAATGGGCATGGATTGCTATGTTTGCGGTGGTGTATCATCCTGTATTTTTTCGTTTGGCTCTGGTCAAGCAGCACCTCCTCTATTTGCAAAGACTGCGAACTTTCCATGCCTAGAGTGTGCATGTGTATGTATTTCCCACCAAAAGAGAGAGAGAGAGAGAGAGAGAGAGAGAGAGAGAGAGAGAGAGAGAGAGAGAGAGAGAGAGAGAGAGAGAGAGAGAGAGAG